ATAAAGTGTTAATTGTTGAAGTATAGATTGAAAATATGAAAGCTCACGAAAATTGCATGATTGAACAATATGTGCAAATATAATAAACATGTTTACTGAATTTAAAAAAATGACGGCACGGCTAACATCGGTCAAAATCGTATGACCAAAAATCATATGATCATCATCTGCTACAGCTAATCACTATTCAAAAAGTTTTATCATGTGATAAAACTTCGGTATAAAGCGATCAGTAAGCATATGTAAAATCCTGCATCGAACTTCGGTAACGGTATAACGAGGGAATTTCACTATTTAGAAAACAAGGGGAGCCAGAATCCCCTTCGGTATAACGAAAATTCGGTATAACGAGGTTTGACTGTACTACTCTCTACCGGTGGGTTAATTCGGTGGTCTGTAGGTCGGGGTCTTAATAAGAAAATAACGCGTTGAGAAGTAATAATTGTGGCAGATTAAAACGAAATCGGATTAAAACGAAATTTTTGGGGTCTTTTGGGTTTCCTTTTAATGCCTTGAAACCCACATATACTCTTTTACTTACAAATAGTATCCTAAATTCTAACCCAAATTCCCAAAAAAAAGGCTAAAAATTATTCCCCAAAAAATTTTATAATTTTTATATTAAAATAGAAAAAATTTCGGTTTAATCCGATTTCGTTTCAATCTGTCACAATAATTAACTATCGTGATGCCACTCGATCGATCACGGGACAAGTATTATGACGATCTTGCCGTTATACGGATTAAATGCTTTAAAAATATAACGGAATATTCAGGGAAAGAATTATTATGAGAGAGCAAATGGATACTCGCTTATTGATAAGAATAAAGGAAATCAAACGTCTTCGATATAAGAAATTTAATATTGAACTTGAACTGAGGGGCGAACACACCGATGCTAAGTAAATTCTACGCTGCTTATATACTTTATCGTCTACTAATTGATCTATTTTTAGCATCGATCTAATTTCTAATTTCTAATCTACTATTACTATTGTTCTGTTTCTCGTACTATACTTATGCCCGCTGCTTCTCCGCTCTGCTTCTTGCATAACTATAAATATTACAGTAGTTTTAGATCTGGAGAACTGGTTTTTTTCTAGATAAAAAACGTGATTTGTATATTGCTAGAATGCCAGTTGCACACACATAGCACTGAAAACATGTTTTTACAGAATTATTTGAGTTTATTAAAATGCGATTAATTTCAACTTACTGTCAATGCTATTAAAAATTATTTTTTAATCACATAATATCATGTATACAGTCAAATCCTGATATAGTCAAGAATTCCTCTGATACAAAAACAGTCTTATTAAAATTTCCCTCGATATAGTGAAGTTATATAGTAATAGTAGATATAAAAGGATATCTTAGTGTGAAGAATTATCTTATAGAAGTATTTTTTGCTGAAGTATCTTCTGGTCCTTTTGAACCCACAACTGCTTTCCTCAAACATGAGGAAGATGATTACAAAAAATTGATTTTGCTTTCAAAAGATGCTTATAACTGTATAAGAGTAAACTATTAGAGTGATGGCTTTTCCATTTTTACAATTTACTTTTTCGGTTAGTATTAATGTGCATTTTTTATACTATTTGCAAAATTATTATATCATGTCTTCGATTTTTAGGGAGCATGGCTTGCATTTATGAGTTAGATATATATGCGCATCCTCTCTGTCGATGGCGTCTTTTTGACAAAATAGAATATTCAATAAATGATCTTATTTCCGATACTTTATTCAAGAAAGTAACCAGGCTTTTAAAATTCAAAGAAAATTCAAAGAAAATCTTGAAATAATTAAGGAAATTTGCAATAATTATACATCCGATGAAGAACACGATCAGAATTTGGAAGAGATAATGAGTGACCAAGAGTTAACAGATGAGGAATCAGGCGAAGAATCATCTGGGGATTCCACTGATAGTTCCGAGAAGAACTGTGAAAATGCAAAAATGGATCATTAGTTCCGACAATAAACAATAATTAATGAATCGTTTGTTGAGGTTAGAATTGTTTATTAGCATACAATACCAATTATATGGGCAGTTAAAGAAGAAATGCGTCAAATTAACAATGTACAGACCCTGTCTGCAAAGCAATACACATATCTATTTATTATATATTAATATATATAACTTAATTTTTTGTCTTATGCTTTTGACGCAATTCTATTTCCTTCTGCAAATTATCAGTATAGCGTCTAATAATCTTGGAAATATCTTCTATGAACTACCAGAGTTAAAAAGTACTAAGTGGGAGATATATTTCTGCGAAACAAAAGTTGGACTTATATTTCGATGACGGCCATGTGTGAAGAATGGAATAATTCGATTTGTATTGACTCTGGAGCGACACATAAATCCTCAAAAACAATTACGGTACTCCTCTCTGGTAAAAATAATTTTCCGCTAGGAACTTTTTCCGGTGATATGTAACTGAATCTAATATTCTCATAATAAAGTGCTTTAGGATTACTTGCAATTATTCCATACATATATCTAACGAATGTCCATTTTGGCTCGCCAGGATAGTAACCACAAACTATCAAATGCGCGTTTTAAATTATACTGTATCAACAACTGTTTGTTAAAAATTATCTTGTGAAAAAGCTGTTGTAATTTGAAAATGGTTTTTCAGGATAAAAAAGTAATAAAATTGTTTCAGACGCTTTTGACTAATTATAATAACATTTGAATAGAATCTTGTAGAAAATGCAGAAATAAATAATAAAACAGCTTTTTAGGCACGCAAACTATTCAAAAAAAGAAATGGTTGAGGGCCTTCCCAATCGACAGTACTGTTAGACAATTTGCAAATCCCTTGTCGAGTCAATATACCCGGGAGAGCGTTGGTACGGGCTTGAGATTTAGCTCTTTTCAACTTTTCAAACAAAACCTTTCGATATTCCTACTCGAAATAAATCTGTATTGACATTTAGTACTGACGATCTAAATATCGGTATTGTATACGCTTTCTCCTGAATTATTATTTAACCTCGAGAATCACTCAATTTCTATGAGCGGGATTAAAGTAATGGCTTATCAGTGGGAACCCAAACTACTAAACTTGCGCAAAGAATTAAATAATAATTCTGACATCGAAAGATAGCTTCGAGGTAAGGGTGAGTATACGTTTTATTCTCAATAGTATCTGACACTATACCGCGGTTTGATCTTATAACCAGAATTTAACAACAACGAAATAAATATATTTTTCTTAACACGGGTTTATTAGAATATAAAGAGTATTCTATTGTAACGAATTTTTTTATTGAGAACTGAAAGCTCAGCCGAAGATAATATGATATTGTTTAAACTAGCCGCGCAAGATATTTGGATAAACGAGGAAATTATTAATATTGAACAGATGGCAAGAAATTGTGCCAAATTAAGTAATTTATGGCAAACTAATTGACATATTTGCGCCGCTTACCTAACATGTCCATGTCTTTTGTCATGGCGTTTTCCGCAGTTTGTATCATTCGCGCGATTAAAATTTCGATCACTACCACAGAGCGGAAATTACGGAACTATTATCCGTTGGATCCGAAGAACGCATTGGAAATGATTATAATTTTATGGAAATTGTTTAACATTATTTAGGATATCTAGAGAATGGCCTTTATCAGGACAGACAAGGGAATGTTTTTTTTTAATTTCAACTTGTGCTGGATATGTTAATTTGACATAGGGCAGCAAGTTAACAACGTTGGACATCTTTCCAGTGGTTTAACTATGTGCAACATGTCTAAATAGTCCATGCAACAGATGTACCACGTATTAGCTAGTGTCTTCTTACCAGCGCCAGCCATTTTCAGTTCATGTTCACTTTGTCTGGTGTTATGCATATCAAACATTATGAAATTGTGCTTTATTATCACGTGGGTCGAATCAGCGTTTCGTATTGTAGCTTTACTAGTTTATAGAAACGATTGTTCACCATGTCCGGTGATATTACAACATGTCCTATATAGTCACAAGGAGGGGGTAAGTCTTGTCACCACGTACGTGCTGTAACCCCAACTTATGTCATCTATCATAATTTATCACGTTAATTACTCAATAATCAATTAAGTTCGCTCATTCCTCTCTGGCCAACTTAACACACGTAAAATCAATTTAGCATGTCGCCGCAATATTAGTGATATACTACTTATACTTAATAGTAGGCTCGTATTTTGATATCTATAAAGGGGTAAAAGGGTTTCCGTGCCACATGAGTACAAATGAGATGCAAGTGTTATTGTTATGTGTCGATTTATTTTTTTCGCATTACGTTGTACCTCTCCGATAAAGTAAATTGCATTTACAGTATCAGAGTTATCATAAGACGTTGAGATTCGTCATTGGTTCGTCTACTGTTAATTCCTTGTTAGTTAATCTATAATCTAGTGTCGATAATCTACGACCAAACAAGAGTTAGTTTCTTCTATTGGGAGTACCATTAAAGATTTACAATAGTAATAGATTTATAGAGTCACGAAAAACACGGGCTGTTACTTTTTCATATTTGGCAGAGTATAGCTAGAATATACATAGAACCTTTCCTCCCTTCCCTCCCCTTGTCGAGCGAAACATCAGCCTGCAATATGCAAACTCCCTACTACTACCGCATAATGATTATCCTTACTTGGAAATAAAACTCTTGATATGTAACACTATTGCTTTACCATAATACTGCACTTCCCCTTTCTGATTGATCACCTGTTTCGTTCCCTCTTTTTCTCTCTTTACCACGCTTTTTTCTTTTTCACTGCAGCAATTCTTTGTCCTTTTACATTATTTGTCATATGAAGGAAACTGTGTTGTACTAGCATCGTTGCCAATCGAAAAGAGAAGCATGTACCTTTACTTTTTTTTTTGCAAACGAATACATGTTATTATATGAAATAGTACAAATATTACGTATATGTTTTCTGGTCCGTCGCATGATTGCCACCAAAAAATCTCTCACATTTAAAATGGAAGAGACATATGTTAAATGCACAGGACTTTTTATTCTTTCCGTTTACGAAATAACCACGTGTGTCGAACGCTCTTTGGATCAGGACAAGCGATGGGGATGTCTCCATTACTCTTATCTTTAACAACGCCCAAATATTCAAACGCGTTCTTTTCCAGTACTTTCCTACTGCTCAGATTCCCCACAAACGTCTGACCATAAATCTCTTCTTCCCCTAGACCTTCAAATACAATTTCGCATGCTTTCGCGACGGCAGAAGAGACAACTCCTCTGTTACGATGAGCAGGCGAAAGCCAATATCCGATTTCATATCTTTTGGGGTCATTTTCGCTGAGGTGTACTCCGATCATCCCAATTAGCGTAGGAATAAAGTGGGATTTCGCGGGAGCGTCAGTTTTTAAACCGTTCCCGCTGTCCCAAATTATACTCCCATTGTTCCTTTCGTTTCCCGTCTTTTCCTCCTGAACTCTAATCGCCCATTGCAAACAGACACCCGTCTTTTCCGTTCTGTCTAAACAGCTGTTCACAAATTTTTCTGCATCTTCAATTCCATATGGTCGAGGTATTGTAAGAGTCCAATAGTGTATGGATTCCGAGTCAGGATTCGAGTCGGACAGATGATATTCGAGCGTCTGGATATCATCCGGAGAGGGAATGGAAAGGTAATAGGGAGACACGGAAAGATAATGGGGTCCGATAAAACGAGGGGAAATGGGAAGTGTGTGGGAGTCTGACTGAACATTTGATCGGGCACTAGTATCAATATTAGCATTAGTGTCTGCTGCCATGGTAAAATAACAATAACAATTATTATTATCCTTGACGTGTGAATTGCATGTGGTGTTTGTTTGTTTGGTTTTTATATCATAACCAGGCGCAGTATATTGAAAATGAGTAAGTGTGATTCAAACCCAATCAATCGATTGTAGTGTGTGAACAAGTTTTGTGTTTTTGGCAATGTGTGAAGAATAAGTTTTAATATCTCCGTTTTAGCAGTAAGAATAAAAATACATATTAATATCTTATTACTATTACTATAACAAAAACTGTTATAACGTGATATAATAACAACAAAGGTACTAACAAAGGGAAGCTTTATCCTAATACTAATACAAGTCGATTTCGGTAAACTAGTATTAGGACCTCATTCTCTAAACCGTTTTCCCTATTTTATTCAGTAACCCATTTTACGCCCCTCTTCCTTTCCCAACTTTTTCCTTTACGAAAATACTCGTTCGTGTGTATCGTTTAATTAAACTGTTATGTGTGGTCTTTTCTCGTACCAAAAATTGAGAGATTAAAACTACTAATTGATTAATGTTTACATGCTGATGGTGGCAATTTAACTTTAACGACAAAAAATGAATGAATGAATGAATGAGTGAATGAGTGAATGAAACAAATGAAATGAATGAATATAACATATACAATAAAGCCGTATTGAATAACGACAAAAATCCGCTGTAATTACAACATTATTACAAGTCTTTTTCTTTCCCTGCGTTGTCTATTCGTCCTTAGTATTCAAACCTGACCCCTCCAACAATCATTTCATCATACTTCTCCAATTCCAAATCAAAACTTATGCTCTCTCTCTTTTTCTCTACTTTTACGTCTAACCAACAATCATCTACCAGGCAATCTAATGACGGAAAGGAAACGTACGAAGACAAGCCGTATCTCTGAGAGCCGTTGCTGGTCTTGTCGTTGGTGTTATTGCCGGTGTTGGTCGTGGTAGTGTCATTGCTATTATAGTCATTGTTTCTGCCTACACTAGAATTGTTTATTATTGTATTAATCTGTTTTTCGTATCGACTATCCTGTATTTGTCCTTCACAGTCTTCGGCATTTGCAATCATCCTACAGTCTCCATCTTCATAACTATTCGTTATAGTCCCGGGAGTACTACAGCACGACGCTGTTTCTATAGTCGAGGTCGAGATAGATCGAGTCAAATGTGGTAACGATGAGTTTGAGGACGGAGAATAAATTGTGTTTGTTATTGGAGGTATCTGCGTATATCGTCTTGATATTGGAGAGTACGAGAACGTCGGGTGCTGAGAGAAAGTTATTGGAATGGAGTGGGTATACTCAGTTTCTGGTAGCGTAGAGTAAGAATATGCATCTAGTTCGTTTGTTGGGGAGGAAACTAGCTGTGCTTGTTTCTGCGGTTGTTCCTGTCTTATCGATACTGCCTCATTCGTATCTGGTGATAGTGAGTCGAATGTGGGGTATTTGGGGCGAGTGGGCTTACGGCGAGACAAGCTCGGTTGGGTCATGGATTTTGTTGAAAAGAGACGCATTTTTGTAGTGTTGTGGGCAAAAGTTCTACGGAGGGTAGGAAGAAGGGGTGCTTTGAGTATGTGAGTCTATTAGTAAGTCTATTAGTGAACCAAGTGCGTGAGTATTTTTTATTGTAAAGAGTTGTATATTGTCTAGACTGGTCTGTATTGTTTGTATAATTGAGAACAGTTTATTCTGTTTATGTCAATAGTCGTTGTAATATCTAGTGGTTTCGTTCGTTTGTTCTTTCGTTTTGGTTGCTTATGCGAAGCAGTTTTTTTTTTTCGAAACTCACCAGGAAGTCCACTCGCCTCAAAGGGTTTTATATATATTTTGGCTCTTCCAGTAGCCGAGAGTGAAATAGTTCTTTCCTGTATACGAGTATGTGTTATTAATTAAATATACATATACTATATATTAATCATTATCGGTTACCCCCATTACACTGCATAGTAACACAGATGCTATCCCATTAGTTTTCGAGGGAACTGAGTTAGTAATTATAATACTTAAATAAACAAACAAATAATGTAATGAGTAATATTAATGTGTTCTGTATATTTTAATAATAACGGCGAAGTTGAAACCTTAATCCCTTTATGGCCTTAATCACGTTTGTCGGTGATGATCACTGCTCATTTCCAGTTTTCAAAAAAAATTACAATAATTCATATATCACGTTTAATATTAATATTGATAGATTATGTACTCATATATTAATATACAGTCACACTTTAGTTAATCACAGCTCTGACTCTGAACGGATTTCCCATATAAATCTACCCAGTTGTATCCCATGGACGTAACCTCGTTTATATCCCCTTAATTTATGTTACTAAATCATGTCATTCTATAGTAATATGTGAATATTTATGCGAAAATATGTCGATTATTGCTTAGTTTGGCTAAGAGTAATAAATTCATCAATATTAATATGACGCACAGCAAAATCAGGCCTGCATAGCAAAATCAGGTCACAAATCAGGTCACAAATTCAACCAATCAAGTCAACAATCGGGGCATAAATTTAAAATCAGGCCACAATAAAATCAGGCCACAATACAAAATCAAAAGACACGAAAGATCGAAGCGCCAAATACCACTGATAGAATTATTATTATTGCATAATAACATTTATTGAAACGCTATATCCCCAACATGGAATACTGTATAACCGAGGTAGAATGTAGGTGAAAGCTATCATTCTCTCGAGTCAAATTTGCGCAAAATATTAGTATGAGTAGCTAGCCAGATTAGATACGGTTTTATATTTTTTTATATACTGCTAATCATATCGCGTGTAACCAAGCATAATACAGACCGTCTTTCTAAATACTATCTGTTTTCGAAGGTGTATATTCACTATTACCAAATCCTTTTTCCAGAATTGTTTATGCTTTCGGGGAATTTTAACTGTTGAAATTACTCCGTTTGCTACAAGTAAAATGTTCTAACAAAACACTTCATGAAATTAATAAGTCGAATACAAGAGAAAAGTTAAAAACAGCACGCAAAAAATCCACAAAGAAATTTACATGATTCAGAGCTGAAAACAATCAAAACAAAAAGGTGAGATTTTTGTGGGTCTTCAAAACAAAAGATCAACTTTGTAATACTGGGGGAAAGCCCTTAATTTTTAAATTTTAAGATCAGCGATAGTTCAATGACGATCTGCTAAATATCGTTTCTTGGGATGCTTACCGAAGTTTTACTGCAGAACATAAAGTTTTCCTAAAATAGTATGACTATGTCGCAACTGACAGCTTGTAAGTTGATGTTTATCCGTTAGCATCTGAAAATGCATTGATTGCATTAATATGAGAACTTGCATACCTCCTTTGTCAAATTACAAAGCGTTACTAGAAACATGATGAAACAGAAAACAAGATATGAATTTGACTATCCTCCAATGCCAATCATACAGAAAAACGTGCAACTAGAAAAAAAAGGGGCCCAAAAATAGAATATGCACGAAGTTCACGACTTTTCCTGGCAGAGAAATCCGAATAATAAGATGTATGCCAAGCCTGCCATTTGTAACCTGTTCATTAAAGAGGTCGAATTTGTGACAGTGAATAACGAAATAATTACATTCTTTTTCTAAGGAAAGCGGCCTTGAGATGTAGAATTTATCATTTACTTAATACAGAATTTTAATACTAGATACAGATACAAGTGTGTTAACCTTAACATGGAGTCGTACTAATTAGCGATTAAAAATCTAGACGAATTACTACCGAACGCACGTTATTGATTTTGACAAATGGATAGTTTTATTCTTATAAACTGTTATATAAGTGGACAAAGGTAGTGACATAGAACTTGTCATTTTGACATCGAGAATTCTATTCCATTACTGCTGAAATGACCGTCAAATAAGCAATAATGTATAAACCCATTAATAGGAGAAGATGATGTTTTTATTGGCATAAAACGTGACTTTAGCATATAGTATCAATACGTTAAAATAATGGTCCTGGTCTTATGACTTACTAATTATGTCATCATATGCTATACATAGTTTCTATATAGTAAGGATATACGGTCACCATGCGTCAAAGTAATGAAACCATCTGGAGTTATTATTTCACATTTGTAATTCGTGCCGTACCTCGATGCATGATTACAATATTTTTCGTCATTTAGCGTTATCAAATAGTATGCCTGACAACTTTCCATATTTTGGTATGGCATTGCTTTTTTCATTATGTTTCAGATTTTGTTAGATTGCCATTTTTGGTTTAAGTACAGAGTGTATTTTCGGAATAAATCGTTTGTATTGAGCAAATCAGGTAAATACACGTTCTAACGTGCCGATTAATTGGTTGAAATTCACTAACATCGAGGTTTCTACTTATAGACCGATTGGTATGGTGTCAAAAACAAATAGCAGAAAAGCATGAGAAAAGATTGGAGCGAGCGACACGGCAACTCAGTCGGAGACGCAAGTTGGATTACAAAATAAAAAATCAATATAAACTGCAGGAGTAAACAGAATATGCATCACAGTCCCAGGAACAGTACTAGTAGTAGAACTATCGCTTTTCATAATAACAAAAATTACATGACAAGAATATACGCGTTTTCGTTATGCTAACTTTATTCAGAAAGAATAATAAAAAGACAATTTTTTACATTGCTCTATTTTACAACAAGAAAAAGAATTAAAACATATCGTATAATAATCTAAAGCTTGAAAACAGTCGATTTATTAATGTAGAAATTAACATTGCTTTTTACTATTTTTGGTAATAACTCATCAATATTCGGTAGAAATTTTCTTGTCTAGAAGAAACCGTTTCGTGATAAAATAACTCTCAGATTAATTTATGATTGCGTAAAATAACATAACCGAACCTTTTCTTTTTGGATTGTACCTAAACCGAATTATAGGCAATACAGTAAACTGTCTTTTTTGCTCACCACTGTATCTACGTTTGTGAAGTTCGTGGTTACTCGATGACCTTCTTTTATAGTGGAGGAAAAATTTTCTTTTAATTAACTAAGAAACCATTTGGATACACGTATAATGCGAGAATATGCTTAATAGATTGCTAATCTGGAATAACTCCTATGCAGTGTTCTAAGAGTCTCCAATATGTATGGTTCTGTTCGATATATGATTATTGGTTAAAAATTGGAGCAAAAAAGACACATTTGTTCTTTGTAACGGAGGAATAAACAGCGGATATAAATTTCTCACAGATTTCCTCAGGAAGACAAGGCATACAGCGTGTGTCAAAAAAAAAGATGGATTGTAAACAAACTTTTCTTCACTTATAATTAAAAACAAACATGTTTTGCTTACAAAACAAAAGCAATTGGTTAAGATTATGGCTGGGCTACGCCACCACGCCACACAACCACAGCACCACGTTTTTTTGCACTGGTTTTGATTGTATATACCCGGGTATTTGACAAAACGCCAGAAACTCTGGTGTAGTGACAAAAATTTTATTTAAAATATTGTTTACTATTACTCAGACTCAAAAACAATTAATTTGCTTAAAGCAAATGTCAACATTCAATGCTTTCATTGCAGCACTCACAACTTGAATTCGGGTTAGGCGTGGATAATATCAAATTTCGGTATATGCTTTACGAAATCGCATTTCAGTCTTTTTTACTGCTTTCTCGAGTTGTGAACATTTAAAGTCTGAATATTTGTTTCTCAGTGCTACTGCAACTGAGAGAAAGTAGATTTATCTGACCATATAAATTTCTTCCAGTCTGTAACAGTCCAATTACTGACATATGTACCCGGGGTATTTCCATAGTTTATTTTACTACCCAGGGTACTCGTGTAAGGGGGGGTATGTCGTATAGATAGAGTGGGTACATATCTCGATTTTATTTTATCTTTTATTGGCATGTTATCAGTAGGGTACAAGTCACAGGAGGGTATATATGCCGGAGGAATACCATAACTAATACCCGGGTATAAATCAAAATTTGGCGTTCAAATTGATGCAGGGTATAGCACAAATACGGTATTTCTATTACTCACTCAAGTCAGATCTTTCAAACAGCTCTAGCGGTTCACCGTAGCTGTGTCAATAAAGGACCACCAAATCAAGTCAGATCTTTCAATTTTTTCTAAAAAAAATTTTAAAGAAAGGAGAAGCGTTTATTTTCTTCATAAAGCGCACGGCAAACCGTTTCTGTCAAAATGTGTCAATTTTAGCTTAGAAGTTGATTTAGTAATCTCTCGTATTTTTTTTTTGTGCGGCAAGAGCGGTTTCGATCTGCTGACCGAAAATGTGCGGTCGACCTGTAGTTTCGCGGAAATTTTCCTGATTCATAGGCTGCAAAAAACTGTTGAACGATTGTGCGATGGCATCTTATCATTTTGCGATTGTAATTCTGTTTTTGCTGTAGTTTATACCATCTTTTGAAAATCAATTGGTTTGTGTCAAAACCATTTCGTGCGACAAGGTAAAAGATAGGGAATCTTGTGGTCATGACAACCAAATCAAATAAACATTTTGTTTAAGCAAATAATACATTACGTATGAAAAAATTTTCAATATTTTAATACAAAGTGTGCATACTTTCCCGTACCAGGGAATACTGCACCAGGGTACGTTAGCAATTTTGGTAGTAATTTCTAACACACATTGCGGTAACTATCAAAGAAAAACAGAGTTGTCAAAAGCGCGGCCAGGTATCAGTCCTCCACCAAAGTTTCCGGAATTCGAGACTGTTAACATTTCGGAGCAACGCAGAACTAAGAAAAACGTTGTTATTCGGTATATGGTCCAAGTGTCCGGCAGACATCAAATAGAACGGATGGAAGTAAAGATAGTCTAATCTTTGATTGTGACAGTGTTCTGGGAAGTACTGAATTAACATCGTAATTGCAGAGGAGGAAGCAAATACAGTTGATAACTTAAATGTTGGTGATGTTGGAAAATGATTACTTTGCAAATAGTTGGGAATAATTAGTGGGTTAAATTTAGGAATAAATATAATATAAATACTATGACTGGTGCGAATATAAAATTTGGCACTGAACTAGAACCAGTGCTATACGGTATTAACCTTCTACTAAATGTGTTTGTATCAGCGAATTTCTTCTTTTGTTTATTAAATTTTTTTTTCAAAAATTTGTTGATTATTGTCAATTTCTACAAAAAGTATTCTAGAAATTTGTCTTTGTCGACTCAATAAAATATGTAGTTCATTGCGAAGAGCAATGTTGAAATAAAAAAATTCCTTAATATTATCTGCCCACGAAAATTAAGATATAAACTGGTAATGGTAACTCATAAGCTTTCAAGCAGTTGACTCTTTGCATAACATTGAGTATACCTGTTTCGACATCGGAGATCGAGAGAAAAGTACCTTACCATAAACTACGCAAATATGTAAATTACCTCTCAATGTAGTGAATTGGCAACAATATTTAATAGTGCATATTCTATTGCTACCGAGGAGAATAGATCTTGAGTCATTATTACTTCCGCGTTAACACCCATTGCCGAGATATATAAGACAGCCTTTATCCGTCCTTGGTAATTTTCGGCGATAATTCTAGTCGTTAAGCGATTAATTCTTTCATGTCATAAAAAAATACTACAATTAATAAACTCCCGTATTAGTTCATTAGGCTTGTTAATGTTGCGGCGAAAGAATAGCTTGGTCTGTACTTACGGAAGGACAGAAAAATTTTTTTGTCTTGCAACATAATAAATATTCACACAACAAAGCCTCTCCTGCAGAAAAATGCCATCTTCATGTAATATATCGCTTGTTTTTACTTTTGTTAATCAACTTGTGTCTTATTCCGAGTCGCATGATATTTACTGGGCCCTGGCGAGAAGATAGTTGAAAAACAGTTTCGGTTTTAATTTGTTCCAACTACAACACAAAAATGATGATAAAATTGTTTTAGATGTCAAATAATTGAATGGAATACAGTGTGGACAAAAAATCTTGCCTAATACATAATAGTCATGTAGTTTAACCATGCACTGCTCAAATTATTTGAAATAATAATGACAGAGCCAATATATGGTCAGAATTCTTCAGAGACACTCAGAAGAGTCTGGCACTCCAACAAGACAGCAATCCAAAGCATACAAACTCCATCGTTAAATAATTTCTTCAGGCAAATTTTAATTTGTCCATAGTTATTGACCGATTATCAATAAATATACTGTACATCTAATAGAAATCCATGAAGCATAGTTAAAACAACTGTAGAAAGGTAAAGACTGCAAAATTAAAGTGTTTTATGGTAGAAGTGTGGGATAGTATTCTGAATTTAACTGTAAAGAAATCTGTAAGCACAATAAAAAAGATGTGAGGCAATTATTGAAGTAATGGTGAACAAATGCCATTCTAATTTTTATAAATAAAATCTGTATGCTTACAGTTTAAATGGGGCAGACTGCAACAAAACCAGACAAAGTGAACATTTTATCACATAAACTAAAAGTGGCTGATGTGGCTGGAAAATGAACTAATTTAGCTGTAATAGTAAACATTTTGGTCAGGCTTTGCTTTCAGGCAAGACCGTTCTCATTACATGAAAATTGAATAGCATTGTACAGTGTTCCAAAGTAGGCTAAGGTAAATCTGGTTGATTTCATGTAATTCCAAGCCAAAACAAGTAGCACTATGTTTATTTAAAAAAAGTATTATAATAGTTTACAAGCCTAGAAATAAATTTTTTGCATGTTCTAATAAAATCTCTGCCATCAATATATCATCTATTGCTTCATCTACATTATTCAAGTCATCATCTGTGTTATCATTAGTTGCATTGATAGATATGTCAGCAGACTCCTTTGTCATACTCATTATCACTGCATCAAACATTCTTTTTTATCTCTTCCTGAAGATATTCCAAACATCTAACACATTTATTTTGACATTGTTGCAAGCAATGATTATGATAACCATGCCCGCATGCCAAAATTTTGCCATCACATAAATTATTCAGTTGATTGCATAATTTTGAAATCACATAGCATAGTAATATAATAGATGTATCAGGTTTTCTGCAAGTAACAAAACCCCTCAGAAGATGATGATCTGTTATCTTATAATAATAATCAAATGATGGTAATTGATAAGTGTTAATACAATCAGATGATGTTTCAGTAATCAATGGATGCTCATTATGTGTTTGGTATATTTTTCTGAATGTCTCCAAAAGCCATACTGCACACTTTTTAGAAAGCATGTGTAGTTGCTTTGGTGCATATGGATATTTTATGGAGTTTATGAAGTGTGTTGAAAGGCATTATTATGCCACTGTTGGAAAATGAAATGGGCTTCCTTCTGTAACTGTTGAGCTGTAAAAAATTTAGCAGTACGTCATCTGATAATACTGTGTGCGATTTCTACAGGACAGTCACTTATTGAAGCAAGATTATTAGTAAACATATTAAATATTGGATGACCAGTCTCCATCCAATAAAAAGTATCAGAAAAAAACATCAAAGGAGCATGCTTATAATTTCTCTGATCAAACTGGAGAAAAAGATCACTCCAGCAATGCATACAAGCTTGTTCATAAGCCCACCAATTACCTTCCTGGTGATGTACAGCATATACATCAAGAACTAGAGGAATTAAATTACTTAATATATAATAGATCAGTTAGATATAAAAAATTCAATATTTTTGCACATGTGACTGAATTTTAAAAAAATATCATCAGCTATATAAGCCCATGCCATATTAATATTAATGATGTGGAGAATTAAATCAATTCTCCATGGTCTCAGCTTCTTACCCATATCTTTATGCTTACCAAATATACCTTTGTAAATATCATTAAATAAAAATGAATTTTTCAAAAAAAAACAAGCTCACAAGCATTCAATGATACATGAAGTGGACCCCATTACAGGCAGAAATGATTTGACAAATTGAGGAATAGATCTATTTTGCAGAATGAATTGTTGAACAACAGCTTCTGAATAAAAAACTGACCTGGCCAATCAGTGATGACAGGATTGCATAATTTGAAAGGTACATAAATGTGGTATGAGTTACTTCAACTCTATAAGTGCAAATTTCCAACCTCAGGAATTTAGTGATAAATGCACATTCTTTGTACATGCAAGCTACACTGTCAAGTCTGCATGATTTTACATGACATCAGGCATTAGTGAATCAATCTTGATATTTTACATCAGATTATATTTTGAATTGCTTTTGTATATTAGCATTGGTGCATAATATATTTTACGGGTAAATTCTAACTATTGTAATAATTATTTCATTTATTGTGACAATTTTTAAATTAATTGCTAGCTTGACAACTGTATTAAGACATCGTCTTTAAATAAACACCAATTGTTTCAAAAAGAACAAGGTCTTGGAAATATAAGTTTTATCTGTGTGTTTACTATAATGAGAAAACTCAAACAGGCTGAGTTGAAAGATGAATATTCTTGAGAAGGTATATTAAAGAGGAAGAGGCCTTTATGCAATGGTCATGTGTAAAGTACAATAAACATATTATTTGATGATAGTACGTATTTACTAATACAAATTCATTCATATATCATTCATAATTGCCATGCTCTCAAATTTTCAGTCCTGAGAGAATGCATTTTGATTGCTGAAGTTTGTGACAGTAGATGAGACTATTGACTCTAGGTCCAAGCTTCATCTCTGAACTAATTTATCATGTTGGGTCAATGTATGGGAGCGATGACGGCTAAAAACAATAATTCTTTTTTATTGCGTGCAAGCAATAAGAAAACCATCAGTATAGCGTTAAATTCCAGGACTGGAGCTGAAGAATGCAAAACAGCAGGGGCAATCCGTCAAGCACTTTGGGAATTGCGTGATGATGTATTTGGCATCCTTGCAGACACAAACTCTGCAGTTTCCAACTTAGCACCACGTAAGTATGGTCCAATGCAATGTGATGTCAAATCTTTATTTGCGACTACAAGTGTCAACGTACGATCAACACTTTGCATACGAGATTCCCATAACAAGGCTTCATAGAAATAAAGTAACGACATCGTCTTGCAAGGAACTTGCGACAGCCGCTGAATGATTTAATCAATAAATATTGTTGTAGGGTACGAAAGCCTTGGTGCGCATATTAAAACTGGTAATTCAGATCATTGGAAGCGTTTACAAATGTGTATAAACAGTTTCTTCCGGTAACAAAAAATTCCAATCCCAAGTTTTACATAAAGTGGGTAACGCATTGCTTTAAAATTCTCAGCTCGATACAAAAACATCGAAGAATGCTTAACACCGATAATGTCTACAGATATTAACTAAAGTGGTATAATTATATGTAGATATCCATTTAATATATGTAACAGCAGTCGTCAGAAGAGTAATATACTGTAAGAAAATTAGACACGGTAGTCAGGAAACCTGAACCAAAGAAAAAACCTGATTGACCTGACGTCTATCTTAACCATCTTAAAAAGAAAGTCCAATTAATTGATACTGACCCGATTCAAACTTCTCAGTAACTGTAAATTAGAAAGGCGACAAGTTTCTCACACTCCTGCTTACCAAATCATAGACACGGCTGGCAGTTCCGGTTCAACACTCTCCTGATTAGCTCAAGCTGATTTAATAAGAAGACCATACTCACCCTATTATATATCTTTAGTCAAACAACAAGTCATTCCTGATATGCAGTATACTATGTGGCAACCATACAACATACTCTAATCGACGCATTCACTACCCGCAACCAATAACAGTAAACCGATTTTTTGTCACCAGAATAGTGAAATAGACGCACGCGCGTATGCAAGAGAACGAGACGTGATTCAAGTGTAGCTCGAATGACAATAAAAGGGGAATCGGCGCAATGTGATCCAATTTTTGATACGGTAGTCTGGATGACATGAATTCATCCCACTCGCTACGGGTAGTTATTAAGACTTTTTAGTCTATATTACTGAACCCAATGCAACTGATCCATGTCAAATTAATCGTAGGTAATATCGAATCGAACGCCTAAAATACCAACCTCAAGATTTATATCTACTACATCGAATCTAATTTCATTTTATTTCTTCTGTACGCTGATATTTAAAAAATTTCTTTCCCGCAAGACGAGGAGCTGGCTTATACTGCGTTAACACATCTGGATCCAAATCTTCGTGCACAACGACCCTATCCTTTGTTCCCCACCCTTTCCTCAGTTGTGCCAACTGTAACTCATCCGCAACCATCCAATAAAGAATATACTTTCTGTCAGTTCTTCTCATTTCCCACTTTTCATCTTTTTCAGAATTAATAGATGTCTGGCAGTAAGAATTCGTCTTAATACGCCTTTGGGTGTACCTCCACTACATTCCTCAAGTTCAAGACGGGATGTAATGTTAGCTTGTACCCGATCACGAAGGAGAGCTTCAAAATTTTCTACTTCCTTATGAGTATCGAAACCCGTTATTGCCAGAACAGGCCTCCATTTGCCGCCCAAGTAACCTGCTTCATTATTACCATATGCTTCATGGTTATGCTGGGCGAGCCGATGCTGAGGTTGGACACAAGGATAGCAAATGTTAGAATGGATGGCAGAAGATAAGTGAAACAAAGGAAAGAATATAGTCGCATTGGGTACACGATACGCTCAGATTTCCTGTAACTCCGATATGTGCTTTGCCCTTTAAAACTTTTTGAAGTATGTAGACACCACTTATGATCTTTGGATTGTTACCCATTCGCTTTCGTAGAGTTCGGCATCAAAAACATTTCAACATCGATGTAATTGAACTCGTTAGTGTATCATGCAATATGGAATTGAGTAACGAAATGATGATCGACTGACGTGTCGAGATATTACGGAACTTGAAAACAAGTCGCAATTGCTTCCGCACCTACTGAAGGCAACACTGGATTGACAAAGTATCAACTTCATTCTCCAACACAATCAATCTAAATCACTAAAATTTGATAGTTTTAATCACAAGTCACGTTGGACTGAAATTATGGCCCATAAACATTACAATACCCAGACGTTTTAAAATGGCTGACAACCTCTTGGTAAGACTTTTATTTATTCACATACATGCAGAGCAAAGACTTAGCAATGGAACCCAAACTATTACGAATTTCTTCTAACTCCTTTAACTAGGGATTCAGAACCAAAGTTCAAGTTCTTCCTAAATAAGAAAAGTTCTTTAAATTTTCCTGGTGGGCAATCGCGATTGTTATTTGTCTCAATACAATGTAATTATCCGGACGGGGGCTGTTAGGACTAATTAAACCTCGTCCGGGAGCCCGCAAGTATCACCTCGATCGAGAATCCAGTCCTAAAGAAAGAAAAAGAGCCCAACGAGCCCGAATGAAAGGTGTTTTTGCGAAATAAATAATGCTAAAGATTATTATATGCCAATGGGCAATTGCAAGACATCACAAACAGATTTGCCTTCAAGCAACAGCACTTCCTGATCCATCTCATCTAAAATCGCATCTTGTTTCACCAATTCATCCTACAAAAAAGAAAACCATGAATAGCTGGAGGAGAAAACATGCAATGTCATAATTTTTGGTCCAATGCCCTACATGAAATATGGCCATTAAGCGGAGAATTCTATTGTATTTTGTATGGCTACTGAATGTAAAAGGTATGGTAACAGTGGCCAACTCAGTTGCAAAAAATTCCCCATTTTCAAGTATATTCATTGAATATAAAGTTAGCCTGTTCTCTGAGAAGCTTTCAGTATTAGTATTTCCAAATTACCAGCATTAGCTGTCATGACTACAAGTTGGCACTTACCTACAACAAGACTACTAAACACCTTCAACTTAACTGCAAGCTCAATCTTACAATCCAAATGATTCTTCAATAATGACACCAAATTAAAGATGTCTGTCCTAAGTGTTTTTTTTGCATCTCCAACAGTGTGATCTGTAGTGGGATGCAAAGGTGGCCCAGCCACTTCAAGATGCCAAACTTCTTGATTATCAGACAGGCGAACTCCCTTTGCATCCACTTTGACCATTCCAGAGTTTGTCTCTGACTTTGCCATCTTTGTAGCCCGCTCATGTGTTTCAATCCACTCAAATTTTACTGTTCCAAAGGTTGTCTCATAGAATTTGAAAAGTGGTGCAATGTGGTATATAATAAACTTCTGCTCACTTATGTCCATTGATGTTACTGGGTGAATGTCTACAGTATTGTACTTTGTTGAAGAAAAAATTGGCTTTTAGCATACTCGCTATAAATTACCCATTGATATTGTTTAGGGGAAAATAAGAAGAGAGAACTTACAAATCAAGTAAGACCTTTTCACAAAAGAGCCTGAATTGTTCATCATCAATGTCACTTTCAAATGAGACCTGAATTGCCTTCTTGAAGTGTTTTCCCACTTTCTGTAGTAGTAGAGATCAAAAAGTTTTAGGTATCTGGCAGACACATTATAAAAATCTTTCCCTATTCTGACGTCTGTAAATTACAGACTCAGTTATATGGATGTACTTCTTGATATCCTGACAAAGAGGGTTTACACGAACTACGCGCCGTCTCCAAGTGTGCATATGTAATCTGTAATACAGTAACGGTCAACATGAAAATTTTATACATGCGCGGTGGCCATTCGCAAAACTAACGAGACCGTCAGAATAACACGTACGTGTTCTGCATCGATATTCTCTTTTAGACTTATCAGAGCAGCCTCGCGACAGATATTGTCTATATCAGCACCTACGTGTAGAACACAAACGTTAACGGAATGCTGACACTTGTTGACTGTGTCACAAGCCATATTTAAACCTGAATATCCTTGAGTAGCTTGTATTAAATCGGCCATCTGTTCGTCCGAAATTGAAGCAGGAGTCGTCTTGAACTTTTCTGCAAATATTGCTTGACGTTGCTAATTGAGAGATGATGAATTGTTTAATATAGTTGGACGGCGTGCATTCACAATAATTATCGCGAATAATTACCTCAATGTCAGGCGGAGCAATGTATACGTGTTGATCTAAACGACCAGGCCTTAATATTGCATGATCCAAAATATGTGGTCGATTAGTAACTAGGTCAAACCAATTGTGTAAGTAGTTAATTCGAGTTTACTAATTTTCAGAAATTTGGGATTCTCCGTTTCTTTACCAGCAATTACAAGCACATCAATGGTTGTATTACTTGGTTGACTAGTTGAAAAAATACCATCCATTTCTACAAACACGCGATTTAGTCGATAAGAGCCAGACAGACAAAAATTGTGTTTAGGTATGCTCAAGTCTTACCAGTCAATAAACAAGTTACTGTTCGATCACTTGTGTTCTCTGATGTTAATTTCGTTCCGCGAGACGGTGCGATGACATCAATCTAACAATTATTGGAGTTAGTGTCATGAATATTTGTAAAACACTAGTAATCTTAAAATTATACCTGATCAATAAATAAGATACATGGGGATAAAGACTTTGCTTGTGCAAAGATATTACAAATATTTTTCTCTGATTCACCGACAATCTTGGAACGTAACCGAGAAGCCTGGAAAAATTTCTCGTCTTTTAAATATTATAATACATATATTACGGAGAATAAGTTTTGACATAGTGACGTTATCTCCTAACCACTGTAACTTGTTTTTAAAACGTGTGGAGTAGAGTGTGAAAAGATTGGTTCCTTTGATCAGTTGAACATAAAAGTCTTCTTTTTGGTTTCAAAATTACCCGTTGGTTAACAGATTGCTTATAGGCTTGGCTAGAAATCTCGATCCAAATAACCGGTTTTGTCTATTAACTCTACATTTTCTAGAGCGAGACGTCACACATGATGATTTGCACGCATCAATAGACCATTGAAGAATTGCCAATCTTTTTATACCCGCCACGTGCTGGGATATTTGCACTGTCAAAACTTTGTGAATTGTTCATATATAATTGACCAACCTCGACTAGCATATAATTGATTCCGGTTTAAATAGCTATCGCACAACATAACATAGTCTTGCCCACCCCTGGAGGGCCATAAATTAATATTCCGCGTGGCGGGCGTATGCCAAGTCTAATAAATTCATCCGGGTTATTAAATGGTTCGATTATCGACGTCTGATATTTACAATATATTAATCGAATTTCCATAAGATAGTTGTTATTTCAATATCTGCTACAAATACCTTCAATTCTTCAATGACGTCATCAAGACCATAAATATCCGAGAAGCGAACCAATGGAATCTAAACAAAAAGAAAATCTAGGTAAGCAAAAATTTGAGTGCACATCACGATTCACACATGCTGCCGTACCTTTGTTTGAAATTCATTTATCCCTGATGGCTTTACTGTTTGAAGCAAATCATAAAAACGATCTTTTGTTGCAAGCACCTATGTTATTATTAGTGAGACAAGTTAATTCGGGTTTCCCAAGAATTTACACTTATTGCGAGACGCTTACCTCTCCTGGATTAGATGAGTTCGCTGCATCATTGACTAGTTGCATAACGACTTGTGAACAAAGATATCCCAAATCAGAAGCAACGAATCCATGAGTTGTTCGACTGACATGTGATAGAATCGACTCGCGATCCTCGTTGCACATTGGAATCTCTATTGTCGAGATAATCCATCTTATTAAAAATATATCAAACGGTTTCATAGTCAAAAAGACGTGGAATCGCATACTCTTGGTCATTATTTCGAGAATCCTTAGTCTCTGTTCTGGCGTTCTAATCACGAGATCAAAGACACGATCCAGTCTCCCAGAACGCAAAAGACTTTCACTGATCACATTGAGTCTATTGGTCAGTCCTAAGAAATGATTTCATGTTAATTGATAATTTATCCAGTAGTCACTGAATATGGCCATTCTTACCTATTATAAATACTTGATTCGATAATCGACCGTCACTCGTAGTGCCATTCAATGAATCGATCGCTTTAATGAAAATTGAATATAGCTTGGCCTCCATGTCTGTAAAAAGACAATATATATTAAATTACGTTTTAAAAAGTGGGAGTTAACACGATTAATCTTACCTGGTCGCCGACATACGGATCGATCAGCTATTATATCAATTTCGTCCATAATGAGGATGGATACACGATTTTGCAGAGCATCTGCAAACTTTTGTATTAGATGCTTCTCAGCAGCCCCTTCGTCTATAAACAGAGTCATATCTACAGTCATATACGATTTCATGCTCTATCTCTTTCAATTTTGGAATACTAACCAACTCTGAATAGATCAGGACAGTTAACAACATAATATGGCAATTCTGAAGTTTCGGCTATTCGCAAAGCAAGAGCAGTCTTGCCCGTTCCTGGTTTACCCGATAACACTATTCCTTTCGTTCTAGGGATATTCGAATAGATCGTCTCGTGATCAATTGTTGTTATAAACGTATGGATAACATTAATAATGGCTATAACGCTTTCATCCAATCCGCCTATTGTCTGTCTTATAAGCTCAACCCAATCCGCTTTTGATCGCATCGGAAAAAGAAAGCAAAGTAAAAGTATTTATCGCACGGTTTCGGATGATGCACGTGGTGGATATATGACGATTACGTGTGACAGTTATAATTGTACCATTACTATTGTTTGAACCATTGTCAAAGTTCAGTTATAAAAATAGAGCTTGATCTGCTGAACCCTAACCACAAAGTAACGATTGGTATTGGCTAATTGCAATTTGTATGATATTTTAATTCTGGCGCATATCGTGCACGTAGGCGTCAATCCTTTCTCTGTTTAGATAACTGCGCAGGAACAAGTGAAACATTACAAATTACAAATGACAATAAAGACAATGTGTGCCAAGTTTGTAATGAGGCACAGGAAACTTGATGTTGAGTATTAAAAGGGATTCTTCCCTCTCCCCCCATTCACTTCGACTTATTTTTTACACTTTGTAACCCCCACCATTATTATGCCGAATCCAGTACTCCCAATTGAACTATTGTCAGACATAATCAGGCATCTGGACGACAATTACTTTAGTCTTTTTAATTGCCTATTTGTAAACAGAGCATGGTGTAAGGCGACCGTTCCAATTCTTTATCGAAGCCCGCTCGCACTTTATCAAAGACGGTCCGTACCTCCAACAACAAGTAGCCCAAAACAAGACTTGGCTTATATGCCAATCGACACATACTTGGCCTCTCTTCCTGCGTCAATGCGAGAAGCGTTTCCTGATTTGAAGGAAAAGTTTCCTAATGAATTCAAGCCGCTCTTCAATTATTATTCCTATCTAGAATATTTATCTGATGAGGCATTGTTCAATAGTGTTATCAATAGTTTTGACACTGCAGCTGTACCTGTGGCCCTAACAGAATATGCGGGAATATATGCAGCGCTGCTCTTCATGTTCATAAATGAGGCAAAGAGGTTGAAGACACTCGACCTAGTCTGTATGTTCAGAACTGAATTAATATTACAACAGTCGGAAAGATGGCCTATTGGAAACCTTGGGCACACCAGGGGGCTTGTCTCTCTAACAGTAAGTGTGCCTGGATTGACTGATATCAATCCGAAAGCCAAACACCTGCAAAGTCATGGTCAAATTGCGGACATTATTTTGAATCAGAAACGAATAAAGGTGATAAAATTGAAAATATTCGGCAAAGTTAGCCATGTGATTATGGATACATTATTACAAAAGAGGAACACTTTGGAAGTCATTAGATTCGTTAGGTGTAATTTCGATGACTATCCTTTGGAAGAGTGGAAGAGTAAATTGGGCAACGTTGCCTTGGAATTTATCAGATGTCATAATATTCCGGATAGCAAGTCTGTAGATCGGACTAGTTATACCATGTCTATGCGTTCATATCCGCTACGATAAAGAGACTATTGATACTTTCTAGCTTTATTTATAATATGAATTTATCCAAAAGATAGTATATATTTGTTTAAAACATTGAATTTCCGAATTACTTTTTATTGTCTATAATAATAATAAATTATCATACTAGTTTAAAACTGTAGTTGAGAGTTATCAATATCAGGTATGGATATGCAGCAACAGAACCAACGGAACCGACAAAAATCAACAAAACCGGGCAGCAGCGCCACCACGCCATTGTTGTTCTAATCTGCGTGTTTAACCCCACATGATTCGAAATTATGTAACTTCGGCTTTCACGCTTAGTCAATTTAATTTTCCATACAATATATGACATTGCATTCCAACGGCACACATTCCCGTACTTGGCACAATGACATCTCGACAATGTAAATTGTAAAATTTTCTCATATGCAGCGTAATCACAGTACGTCGCGAAATTTATGATTACGTGTTTGAATAAACGTGATCTGCTGTCACATAAACTTGGACGAGAATGATTAACATACATGGTAAGCTGTCATTGGGAATACAACGGCAACCAATCAGACAACGCAATCTAATTGCAAGAGCACTATTCTTATGTTTCTGCAAAGCATTGGTGGCGGAGCCTACTGGTAATGCAATTGCCAAGCCGAGGTACCAGAATGAATAAGAGTCTTATAAATAAATTTGAAACCCAAGAAACGAAAGTTTAGTCTTCCATTCACTTGATAAGGAAAGTGATCGTTTGGCTGGATGTTTCATATCGGTTTGAGGCAAAAGATAAGCATATAATTGCTGATTTTAACCACAAGGCAAACATTCAAAAAAAAAAAAGAAGCAATCTTAACAGTTACGAAAAAAAAGCTATTATCTGGAATCAATAACCAAGGGAGAGCGGTTGTGTGACCTTGAGATTTAGCAAACGTTTATTTTGGCAAGCCTAAATATTCGAGATGATGAAAGTGAGGATCGAAATTATTTACCAAAATATAAGGGCGGAACATGGTAAGCAAATATAGTTGGACATGGTAATGGGCTTGTATATATTTTTTATGAGCAGCGCGTTCTCACACGCATTTATTCAAGAAAGTCACGCTACTTAATAATATCTCAGCCACGCATCAGCCATCATTCAATAAACGATTGACGTTACACATATTATTTTAATTAATTAATATTAACAAATTTTATATTAATACAATTTCATACTATGAATGTGCACATAATTAGAATTATTGTTTTCATGAACAAAACCCATTGAGCTCGGGTCCTCGCTGCTTGTTGCAAATCTTTGACTAGCGCGTGCGCGATACTGTAAATGCATTGGGTCTAGGTAGGACGATAAATTTGGTTTGTGTCAAGTGCAAGCTGACGTAAAGACGTGCCGAATGACAGCCTTTTTGATCCATCATATAATGCATTCCGATAAGGCACAACGACGACGAATGTTTGAACACAATCGACGGATTCGCAATGAATCACGATACAGAAGAAGAACCTCCCACCCATCGAACAACAGAGCAGACCAAATTTTTTCACTTTGCATTTGAGCGTATGTATATGTTACAAGCGCAGATGATAACAAACATGTCCATGTATTTATAATTTACAATTTGATATGCAAGTGTGCAAAAAAGAAAAGATGATGTAAGGAGAGGTTCCGTAACAATAAATACAAAATTTTCAACTGATGAACTGATAAACTAGAAAAGAACTACCAAATGTTCAATAAAAATATCCAAATATGTGTGTAACCAGGTCAACAAGTGGATTGATTCAACATATGCTCAAAACTCTAGCTCACTCATAATATAATCCATTGGCCCTTTATCCCCTTTTCCTCCATTCAATCTTTGAAGCCCCATTCTTTCTCTTTCTTTTATGATTTCAGTTGTTCCCACCAACATATGACCCTGCACTTTCTTCCATAGGAATCCCGACATCCCGTCTTTTGCTATTTTCCTAGCGAGCTTGATCCAACTATCGATCGTCAGATCTCTCATTCCGTATGTTTCCTGCGTGGTATATTCCACATCCCAGGAAGGCTTAGTATTGGGATATTCATTTGCTTTAGTAAGATTAACAAAATATTGAGTATATCCGAGAGCGGTGAGAAACGTATTTGTGTGAGAAGGTGATTTCGGATCGTGCCGGTGTTTTGATCGCTTGCCTCTGGTTGAATGCATATCGTCATCTTTATCGTCCGAGATGTCGTCTTCATCCAACTCGGTATAAAACTCGTCTGCAGTGTCACGTGAGATCTCTGCTGCATTCATCCAGTTTTCCGTTTTATTGTAATGGAATACGCGTAGTGATGGAAAGAATGTTGGAATTATCGACGGATTGATGTGGATGACTGTATATTCTTCGGGGTTTAGCATTTGCAAGGGGGGGACCGAGCGATAATGTTCGAGAAGTTTTTCGGCATATTCTTCGTACGCGTAAGCGTAAACGCGCTTATCGTCTCGAGTGGCGTTAAGAGGGTTGCTTGTGCCATTAATGTGACTATCGGAATTATTGTTCTCGACGCTGTCAACTTTATCGTCCTCGTCAGCAACACCAAGTTCCGTTGTATCATCTGATGGACTGTCAACCACAGCCTTTGCAGAAATAAAGAAGAAATGATCTAGATTTGAATGACCGAAATGATGTCCCAGTATCATGTCATGGAATTTGAGCGCAATCCTCCCATACTTTTTAAAGCATGATGACATGTATTGCTTCCGTCTGGGAGCGACGTGACCGATGATGTAGGCTTTCATATCCCTTGTTCTCGCCCTCCTCAGAATCTCTTCCATCCATCTCAACTGTCTACTGCCTGCATCGTTCGTATTGGAACATCCGTCAGAAGCCTTGTTTGCTTTGTAAAAGGCCAAGGTGTTCAAGGAAATTACAATTAAGCGATCGGGTATCACTTCTTTGACAAAGTACCCACCACGTCGGAAAACGTGTTGTTGCGTGGGTGGGATGAAGGGAGACCAGATATCTGCCAAAGTGTCGAGAATTTCATTGGGTCCAGGGCCTATCCTATTGGATGGATGCATGTCGTTGTTTCCGATGGATGGAATTACGGGAACGGAAAGTTGGCCGGTTTCTGGGTCGGAAAATGCATCGATAAATTTTTGTGCTACCATACGATTTAGATTAAATACTTCTTCTTTGGATCTTGGAATATCTTTGTCGTGGCTGTGGGGGATATGTAAGGGGAATTGTATGAGCATGTGATACATGTACACTAATGGAGATTCTGACGATTATTACGTCATTATCAATAATTATTATGCCACATTCCCTAACTTGTCTTGGTCTTTTACGCTAACCGCATTATTGTTACGATCATTACTTATGAACATCTTAACAATCCCTTACAAAGTTAATTCTTTACACTTACCGAGAATTATCTCCCGTCCAGATGACAAAGTCCACTTTATCTCTCCAATTTTCCTTTAGCCATTCGAAAGTATAATTTACCATCTTCATAGAACTATCGCATACTGTTGCTGGGGCACCCCATACACCACCCCGACCCATACGCATGTATTTGGGTTTTTTGGTCGTTCTGAACCCGTCATCGATGTTTTCTTCGCCTGCATTATGACACGAACTCTTGGCTGTTCCGTTTGTAATATAGTAAGGATCGGGATGGATGTCGGTGATGTGTATAAAACGCCCAGTCAGCGGTGGAAGCGGTCTTTTAGCGTATGGGTCGTATGTCCACAGCAAATAAAAAGCGACAGAATAGATAACCAAGACTAATAATGCGAAAGGGAGTGTGCGTGTTACATTGTGTGAAAGAAATGATGAGCGTGTCTTGGGAAGGAGATGAGTTCTTTCAGTTGGCATTGTCTATGTGAAGAGGACTGTTTGATACTGATGGGGTGGAGGGCTTCTTTCTTGCGGCTACCGTATATAAATCTAAATTATTAGTGATATATATATGATGTCTCCCTATCAGTGTTTAAGGCCCCTTATCACGATTGTGAGGAAGCTTGTCACTCGCAATGACAACACTGCCAACCGATGAGTAGTATTTATATAGCGGGCTTGCTATCCACCTTACGCTTATAAAATGAATTGGTCCATGCACTTTACAGAAACTTTGATTTAAATAGTCAGTGATGTCTATCACCGCCCCTTATCTTTCGTGTTATTTTGACTACATTCTTGTGACTGTCAAAGTCAATTTCGGCTGGCAGCACCACATGCTGCAGACGACATTGCTATTGGAGTATCCATCGGTAATATCTGTAATAGGGGCAAACAATAGTAACAATAACAAGCACAGCAGCAATACAACATAGTACAATACTATATATTGGGTATATATTACTTTATTTATATCCGTTATCAAACTCATCGGATGTAACCGCTTGGCACTCGTTTTTCGGATATTAAACAAATAGGATGCTAATGATGTCACTGATATGAAAATGACTAAATGAAGGCCGTTAATATAGTAAACTTTCTTTCACGAGGAGCTGACGCCACAGGTATAAACTTACCGACGAATTTACTGAATCAGGTAAGGTTTGAAAGTGAGAAAACATATTACAAAACGCTATTACTAAATGTCGATTATTACTCGAACTTTTGATGCTGTTCTGGCCCGTAGCACCGTTTCGCAATAGGCGCATTATTTAATATCACAACCAATAAGCGACATCTAATCAACGTTGTTTCTTGATAATAGCGCAATTAAAATATGCCTTATTTTTGGCTGGAGTTTTGCGTTCTTTAATGATTACCTTATTTATGACTGGAATGCGTTCTTTAATGATTACCTTATTTATGACTGGAGTTTTGCGTTCTTTAATGATTACCTTATTTATGACTGGACCGGCCGATTATTCAAAAGAGATTCGTCGGCTATTATTGAACCCAGAGCGACAACTCATGTCAATGATATTCAATATCGTCATACATCAGTAACAAATCATTATCGTGAAAGCGAATTAGCCTGACTTGACCAAGTAGGGAATGGAAGAAAATGATTGCAAAGAATTCATAGTAACGTTTGACCTATATAATATTTATAATGCAAATAAAAGGCTTGCAACAAAAATGCTAAGCGAAAGACGCTAAAAACGACAGAGAACGAAGTACAGTCATACTCTGCAATGGGGAACGAAAAATCTTAAGCGTTTGCCGTTTTTCATAGCGAAATTCAAAATCCTCGTTGCTTTAACGCCTATCGCATGCCCAGAGTGCCCGTTAGAGTGAAATGGTTGAAATGGTTTGACGATTTCGCAGAAATTACATGCAATATCAACTATTTAAGAAGTTACTCGCTGTTATTGACAACTGTCATGCCCACGCAGATGACGTTTCTCTTGGCCTTTCTTCCAGCGAACACACTTAGATAATATTGATACGATGGTATTGGCTGAATTAGTTTTGGTTCTTGATACACGTAGACTTAATGGCTTAGTCGCATCAAAACTTTTGAGAGACGCTGAAATTTACGTGACTTACCATAATGTTTTTATTGTTGAAAGAGCAACTAAAATGCCAAAATCAATAAACGCACCAGACAGTCTCGAAACGCTATAAAAAATTCTGAAGTAACGGCAATGCTAGACACTTTCTTGGATTAGAGAGGATGCTTTCATTATGATGAAAACCAAATACGCTGAAACAATAAAATTCAAGTTATCCATAAAGACATAACTGTTAACGCTGCCACATCCTGATTTCTCGTTCTATGCGATACAGTGAATTTCAGGATTGAGAACGAAATACGATTATGATTCGCATTAGTTAATTGTTTGCCACTCAATCACGAAAAAGAAAACAACGTCTGTCATGAAAACCTGATTATCGGTAACAGAGTTAAATCACAAAAGGTCGCTTCCCAATGATTATATACTGTATTCGCAGTTCAGAAATATGCCTCATCTAAAAATGGATCAATTCAGTGCCAATACTTCATAATACTCATGTCAAGTTAATTACAACAATTTTAAATTTGTTAACCCCTTCTCTAGGAGCGAGTCGAGAACGAGTCTAAGAATTTCTTATTATTAACATATTCCTCGACTAAAAATCCCTATGCATCGTTGATTGCTGAACGGCATTTAAGTAGCTTAGGGAAATTAGCGTAACGTCTAGCTGTTGACTTGAGCAGAACGCCACACTTTATAGGTGTGTCTTCCACGCAAGTAGTAATGATTTTGTGCAACAAAAAATGTGACCCCAAAGCTATTGATGTGTATAATCTATTCCTTGTTACTCTAAACTTCGTTGTCTTTTTATCATTGCTATTATTTATAACATTATCCCTATCGTTTCTATTCTTTATTTTCATTGTCTCCATCTGAGTCGTTTACAATTTCCTTCTTCGTTTGAATAGTCTTCTTCCTTGGGGTTGTTTTTCGAGATAAAAATTAATTATTGTATATGCAAGTTATTTGTTACGATCCCCATTTTATTAAAATTTTGAATTCGGTTGTTTATCATATGATTATCGATATTTGGCGAATAATTTTTGTTTGCTAATGTTGCGTTTTTAATACTTCACAGTCTTGGTTAATATTCCCGTGTCGTGGAATTGACTATTACAAATTATGCCATTTAGCGACATGCCGAGAACAAAGCCAAAAAAAAGAATTCTCTCGATACCTCTCGGAGAATTAATTGAAAACCAAACACCAACTAGACTCGCTCGGCTTTACTCTCAAATTACACAGCTGCCATTCAGTATTCGGAAAAGGCGCGTCGTTTGGATATCTTGAAAGATGCAGCAAAAAAGTGGCTTGAGAAAGTTGCTGCTGTCCGAGGCTTTTTCAATTCATTGGCCGACATAAAGCAAGATACGCGGCTATGCTTGCCTCGACGACAGAAGATTTTGTTGATACACAGTATTTATATTCGTATTAATTCAACCTCAATTTAGTCTGTTGCATATTATGAATTTTAAATCAAATTCTCCTTATATGATGTTCTAAGGACAAATGTCCGCTCCAATAAGACTCGTTATTTCTAGTTATATGTTTAAAATTAAGATAATTTTATAGCGCAAATATAAGTAATATGATTAAGTTTATTAGTATGATATATACTAAATACTCTTTTTTACATTATACGAATGATCGAGTATAAATTTTCATTATCGTCGAAACAAAAAAGCAGCAATGTTAAAGCCTTGAAGTCCGAATTCAAGAACTTAAAAGTCAAAGCTTTAGACTTTATGTTTATTATTGTTACACAAAATGTATTGGGTTGACGTCATCCAAATGTAATTTATTAGTGTGGGGGATTGTTGTAATGTGAGATAAATAAAATTTTATTAATAATCAAGTAATCACTGTCATTCAATCGAAAACGTATTTTTGCTACAACTATGAACGCTACACTTTTGAAAATTTTAACCAGCGATAACTGTAATGTTAATAATTGCTTACATGATAAAACGTACCTTGAAGGAATAGGGGAAGTAGACGAACAACTTGTTCATATAGTATATTAGGCGCTATTGCGTATAGTGGATAGAGCCTTGCGGCATTACAATGCTAGCGATTATAATCGACGTATAACCCTAACCAAGCACAACCAAGAATATAATCTACGCGTGTGTTAAAAGTAACTGTTGCCAATGTGCGCGCGAAAACTGAGGCAGAATATTAAGTACGATTTAAATATGCACGGCCGGCTTGATTCTTCGAACACGCAAAATCAATTTTCGTTGTCACTCGTTAACAACTCAGCAACCAAGAATCCAATGCTCATGAAACTCACATACTTGTTAATGATAACTGTTGTCCACGTGTGTGTAAAAAATTGACACAGAATATTAAGTACGATTTGAATTTGACTATAACGGTTGAGCATCAAATCCCGTGAAATGTTCGGTGACCTCCCAACTTAATTTCAATATCGATAATGTTGTAAATGTTGCACTTGAATAATTATGTTCTAAGCCTTATATTTAAACCCGCTGTTAATATCTTTCTTGTCTTTTCAGTTCTCGTATGTAGAATGTCATTGGAGATATTATCACCAATTTGTTTTTGAACTTCCTCATTAACCAATGTTGGATGCTAAATTGTCATATTTTAAACTTTTATAATAATTTAATTACTGTGATAAACTATTCCCAAAGCAAACTAGTCATTTTGGGTATGGTTATAATTCTTAATGAATTTAACTGATTTAGTCATTAACTTCATCAAAAATTAACCCTATTTTAAATTGCTAATTTCCATTAGAATGTTATAGTCAGACAAAGCGGGATAATTATAGTCTATATAGACTATGATTATCCCACTCTGGTTAACCTCTGCGAAGGATGGGCACATTAAGATTCATGCGCTGATAATTGGCATTAGCATATAATTATGTTTCTTCTTGCTTATTTGTTTTTTTATCTATTTTGAAATAAAAAAAAAGGAAAAATTAGTCGTCTCTTTCCAGACACTCTAAATGTCTTATGGTTATCAGCAGCAATTAAGTTTTCTACTCACATTCTAGATCAGGCATAGTAATAGGATAACAGGAAAGAGTACTAGCAAGATGCTGTACTTGATATCATACTTGCTCATTCCAAAGAGTACTTCGCTGATAAAGTGAAGAAGAGAGCAATGTCTACTGAGTATTGAATTATAACCACTCACATGGACCAACGTTCCCATATAATTAAATCATTATCTATTACTATTGCAATCTGCAGTTTGCAACATTTTTTTCTCGCTTTCAAGAGAGCTAAAATATTTTATCCCACAATAATGAAAACTATTGCTCATAAACTTTGTAAGAGGTAATGATAATATAGTAATAGTGATAGATGCTCCCTGTTTTTTTTTATTAATATTGATAAATTTATATCACTGTTGCAATAAAATTTCCTA